GCCTCTTGTAGACCCTGAAAAAATATTCTTTAAAAAATCCACGCCTCTTGTAGACCCTGAAAAAATATTCTTTAAAAAATCCACGCCTCTTGTAGACCCTGAAAAAAATATTCTTTTAAAAATCCACGCCTCTTGTAGAGCCTGAAAAAAATATTCTTTTAAAAATCCACGCCTCTTGTAGAGCCTGAAAAAAATATTCTTTTAAAAATCCACGCCTCTTGTAGAGCCTGAAAAAATATTCTTTTAAAAATCCACGCCTCTTGTAGAGCCTGAAAAAAATATTCTTTTAAAAATCCACGCCTCTTGTAGAGCCTGAAAAAAATATTCTTTTAAAAATCCACGCCTCTTGTAGAGCCTGAAAAAAATATTCTTTTAAAAATCCACGCCTCTTGTAGAGCCTGAAAAAATATTCTTTTAAAAATCCACGCCTCTTGTAGAGCCTGAAAAAAATATTCTTTTAAAAATCCACGCCTCTTGTAGAGCCTGAAAAAAATATTCTTTTAAAAATCCACGCCTCTTGTAGAGCCTGAAAAAAATATTCTTTTAAAAATCCACGCCTCTTGTAGAGCCTGAAAAAAATATTCTTTTAAAAATCCACGCCTCTTGTAGAGCCTGAAAAAAATATTCTTTTAAAAATCCACGCCTCTTGTAGAGCCTGAAAAAATATTCTTTTAAAAATCCACGCCTTTAGAAGACCCTGAAAAAATATTCTTTAAAAAATCCCCGCCTTTAGAAGACACTGAAAAAATATTCTTTTAAAAATCCACGCCTTTAGAAGACCCTGAAAAAATATTCTTTAAAAAATCCCCGCCTTTAGAAGACACTGAAAAAATATTCTTTTAAAAATCCACGCCTTTAGAAGACCCTGAAAAAATATTCTTTAAAAAATCCACGCCTTTAGAAGACCCTGAAAAAATATTCTTTTAAAAATCCACGCCTTTAGAAGACCCTGAAAAAATATTCTTTTAAAATATCCACGCCTTTAGAAGACCCTGAAAAAATATTCTTTTAAAAATCCACGCCTTTAGAAGACCCTGAAAAAATAATCTTTTAAAAATCCACGCCTTTAGAAGACCCTGAAAAAATATTCTTTTAAAAATCCACGCCTTTAGAAGACCCTGAAAAAATAATCTTTTAAAAATCCACGCCTTTAGAAGACCCTGAAAAAATATTCTTTTAAAAATCCACGCCTTTAGAAGACCCTGAAAAAATATTCTTTTAAAATATCCACGCCTTTAGAAGACCCTGAAAAAATATTCTTTTAAAAATCCACGCCTTTAGAAGACCCTGAAAAAATATTCTTTTAAAAATCCACGCCTTTAGAAGACCCTGAAAAAATATTCTTTTAAAAATCCACGCCTTTAGAAGACCCTGAAAAAATAATCTTTTAAAAATCCACGCCTTTAGAAGACCCTGAAAAAATATTCTTTTAAAAATCCACGCCTTTAGAAGACCCTGAAAAAATATTCTTTTAAAACGCCTCTTGTAGACCCTTAAAGAATATTGTGTGAGAGTGAGTGAGACCCCATTAAAATTTGTATTTTTCTCGCCCGATGTGGCAGTGGCAAGTTAATGCCTCTACAATGATCTTGCAATATTTTTCAAATGTTGTTTTGCTTGGTTGGTAGGTAGCTGGCTTGCCTGGCTGCCTGCCTCCTATGCTGGTAGGTTGCAGCGTGTCATGCATGCGTGTCAGCTTTGCCACATAAATAACTGGCGGTTTGGTGTGGCGGCGGTAGCATTTTTTTAATGCCAGGTTCCATTGCATCACCGATCACTTCAGTAGTCACGCTTATGGCCATAAAGTGTGTGAAGGTCAATTCTAATATTGTCTATACTTAAATGCAAACGCCAAAGAATTGAGACTAATTGAAATTGAATTGACAAAACCGAATAGAACCGAATTCACAGAAGTGCGGTGCGGTGGGGTAGAGGTCCGGGGTTTGGTGTGTTGTGTCAGAAGTGCTTTTTAGACCTGCAGTTGATAATTAGACTTTCAATTATAGCACTTAACACAGGTGTATGCATATTCTCTCTCTCTCTCTCTCTGCACTTTAGAAGTTTGCCCAAAAATTTAGAATCTTTTTTGTTGATGTTGTTTTTAGAGGTTCTAATCGAATTTTGGTGTGACTCTTCAAAATTGTTTGGTTTCAAAAGGGCACAGTGGCTCTCAATAGAAATGAAAAGGCGTGGATTTTTATACCCTTCACCACACTGTGGTACAGGGTATTATTTCTTTGTGCATATGTTTGTAACAGGCAAAAGGAAACGAGATAGACCTATGGTCCCTTTTGAGAATATGCATAGAATCACTTTCAGAGTCGATTTATGCATGTCCGTCCGTCTGTAAATTGTAAACAAAGTACAGGTCGCATTTATGATCCGATTTGGATGACATTTAGCACAAGTCACTTATTTGGCCCAAGGACGAACCCTATTCAGATTTAGATATAGCTCCCATATACATTTTCGTCCGATTTAAGGTAAATGGGGCACCAATGTCGCTATATATCTTTCGATTTGCACGAAATTTGGCATAGGTTACGGAATTAGGTCCAGAATGAAGTGTGCTAAGTTTCGTGAAAATCGGTTCAGATTTAGATATAGCTCCCGTATATAGTGTAAATGGCACAGTCCGACTTACTACTTTCCTTACTGGTTTTAAAAATATATTTTAAGGACTATAAACAGGCGTGGAGTTTTAAAAAATATTTTTCAAGAGTCACGAATAGGCATGGATTTTTCAACTATTTTTTTCAATGGACATCCAAAGGTGTGGATTTTTTTAAATTATTTTTTTTTCTGTTCACCTGTGTAATTCATAAATAATTTATTTATTTTCTCGTAATATAAATTATTCAAATTGTTTTATTTTTTCTTTCTTTTTTGTTTGATACATTTCGCACACTCAAACACACACAAATATATATATATATATTAGTATGCAATTGAATTTGTTTCGATAATAAATTAAGTCAACGCTGACAATTCAATGTAAACTGTTTTAAAATTGAAAACAAACAAAAAATTAAATGAAAAAAATATATATACATATATATATATAAGATATGATAATGAAACCTACCCTAATTCAACACCAATGCACATATATGTGAAATAATATATCATATATTACTAACATATCTGGCCTGGGGTAGAACTTGCGTTCCATTAGCCGAGCTTAAAAAAGATCTCCAGGCGCGTCGGTCTTTTGCGCAGTTTTTCCAATTTGAAAGACAATTTTCGGCAATGTTGTCCTCCACTTGACCTTTTCATCGTATTCGTGGCCTTCCCTTCTGCGTGAACCATCAGCTGGTTCGTTTTTATATGCCTTCTGGGCTGGGGCATCTTCATCCATTCCCACAACATGACCTAGCCAATGTAGTCGCTGCAGCTCAATACGTCTAACAATGTCGATGTCCGAGAATAGCCGGTACAACTCATGGTTCATTCGACGGCGATATTCACCGTCAACGCAGATCGGCTCATAGATATTTCGGAGAATTTTTCTCTCAAACACTCCAAGAGCTGCCTCATCTGCTTACGCAAGTACCCATGCTTCAGATCCATATAACAGCACGGGAATGATCGTGATGGCCAACAGATGCTGCTAGGGTCTGAGCAAACAACTCAAAAGCAAGGCCATCTCCCGCCAGACCAAACTCACACTCTACAAGACGCTGACTCTTGTAGAGTGTGAGTTTGGTCTGGCGGGAGGTGGCCTTGCTTTTGAGTTGTTTGCTCAGACCCTAGTAGCATCTGTTGGCCATCACGATCATTCTCCAAATTTCGAAACTGATGTCATTAATTTTATTTAAGGCGGTACCAAGGTATACAATTTGTTCAAAGGTGGCTGTTACCGCTCTCAATGTTCGACCCATTATGTCGATGTCATCGGCGTAGGCGACCAGCAGGAAAAAAAGCTCACACAACAAACTGTCACCCTGTCTGAATCCTCGTTCGATGTTTTAGGGTTCCGATAGGTCCTTTTCGACGTTACCTGCTGACCTTGTGCCTCCTAAAGTTATCCTGCATAGCCGTATAAATTTTGCAGGAATGCCGAACGTAGACATGGCTTTAAACATCTCTAAACGGATAGGGCTGTCGAATGCGGCTTTATAGTCGTCGAATAGGTGGAATGTGTCAACGTGTTTTTCGTGTTTTTTTATTTTTCCAGGATTTGGCGCAGAGTGAAAATCTGGTCAATGGTGGATTTGCCAGGTCGGAAGCCGCATTGGTATGGTCCAATAATGTCGTTAACCATTGGCGTCAATCGTTCACACAGCACACTTTATATGCGATAGGAAGGAGGCTTATTCCGCTATAGTTGGTACATACCGTCTTGTCTCACAGGATGCTGAGGTTCCAATCAACCCATTTTTTTATATTTCTTATGGGTGAACTCGCGGCACATATCAGCTCACTATTTCAACGGGTGATGAAAATAGCTACCCCAGGTGACACCTCGGGGAGGTCAGTGTCCACATTTGAGATGAAAGAGGGACCAAGATAAGCCTGGACTTCGCCATGTTAAAGCCAATCAGAGCCGTTGCTCGGTATCTATCATCCCCTACGTCACCCTAAAAGTATTCTTTTAAAAATCCACGCCTCTGATAGATTTAGAAAAAATATTCTTCCAAAAAATCCAATCTTCTGGTAGACCCTGAAAAAATATTCTTTTAAAAATCCACGGCTCTGGTCGACTCTGAAAAAATATTATTTTAAAAATCCACGACTATGGTAGAACCTGCTCTGATATTCTTGATTTTTTTCTCAACATTTATTTGATTTATTTTAATTGGTGCTTTCCTCTATTTCCAGTTCCTGCTGATGGCCCGCATATTATCACATCTGGTGATAGGTGTTATATTCGGTTATCTATACATAAATGTCGGCGATAAAGCCAATACGGTATTGGGTAATTATGTGTATTTATATGGTTCGACACTGCTATTGGTCTATACAGGAAAAATGGCTGTGGTGCTGACTTGTAAGTATCCTCCAACACACATACATATGACAATTTCTTCAATAAAATCGTTATTGTTTTTTAGTTCCCCTCGAAATTGATATGCTGTCGAGAGAACATTTTAATCGTTGGTATAATCTGGGGCCATATTTCCTGTCCTTGCTATCATTCGAAGTACCTTTCCAGGTATGTTCATTTTTTTTTTAATTTTCAGATCATATTTTTATTAAAATAATTTTTTTTTTATTTCTTCAGTGTATTTGTGCGGTCATTTATATGGGCATCAGTGTTGTTCTCACCAACAATGATAAAAGTGATAGCTTCCGGGTCATGTATTTCATATTGTTCGGAGTGATGGTGACATTGAGTGCCCAGTCGTGGGGTTTCTTTGTGGGTGCCACATTGCCAACGAAGGTGAGATGGATAAATGATTAAAAACCAAGTAAAAACGTCGTTGGAACCCTTGATACGCTCCATAATGAGGAGCTTATTCAAAAATATATAGAATCGATCGGGACTGCCAAGAGAAAACAAGTACGAAACGACCATCAGTCATTTTGACACATTGGACTAGGACCTTGAGTACAACCAAAATCACAGGTGACGGTTTCAAAACATGCCTGAAATCCTCAAAATGGCGAAATTTTCGGGTTATGGTTATATGATGGCCGTTCCTAAGACGTGGACCATTATTGAAAAATTTGTGGTAGGAAGATGTTTTACCTCATGAAACCAAAAGAATGCCAAATTACAGCAAATTCAGTTGAAAATGTTGTCAAAATACCGAATAGTCGGGGTATCCTCATAGGGGATCTACCCTGAAACTTGATTCAATTTTTATAATTCTTTGTAGTAAGACTTTCTACCCCATGAGAACCAAAAATACCAAATTATATCCATTTCGGTTGAAAAATGCGCCCAAATACCGAAATACCCTCATAAAACCCAAAAATTCGGAAGGTAACATTATATGGGGGCTATCATTAAAAATGGACCAACATTGACAATTTTTGTTAAGATGATTTGTTACCCAATAAGAACCAAAAATACCAAATTACAGCCAAAATGCGCCCAAAGATATCAAAATTCCGAAATTCGGCAGGTAACGTTGTATGAGGTCTATCATTAAATTTTGACGAACATGGACAATTTTTGGTGAGAATATTTATTATCCAATTAGAACCTCAAATACCAAATTACAGAAAATTCGGTTGAAAAATGTGCTCAAACCCCCTAAAATATCGAATAATGGCGGGTACCCTTATATGGGGTCTACCATGAAACATTGACCAATATTGATAAATTTTGGTTGGGAGATTACCCACCCCATGAGAACCAATAGTACTAAATTACAGCCTATTCGGTTGCAAAAACTTTTTTCAAATCACCAAAATACCGAATATTTAGGGTTCCGTTATATGGAGGCTATTATTAAAAATAGACCAAAATTGATAATTTTTGGTGAGATATTTAGGGGTCTAAATACCAAATCACAGTCAATTCAATACATAAAAGTAGCCCAATACTGAATAACTGCAGGTTCAGTTATATGGGACCTACCCTGAAATCTGGGCCAATATTGATAATTTTTGGTTGTGAGATTTTCTACCTCATGAGAACCACAAATACCAAATTACAGGCAATTTGGGTGAAAAATGTGCCCAAAGACCCTAAAATACCGAAATTCGGATGGTAACATTATATGGAGACTATCCGAAAATGTGGACCAATATTGTTAATTTTTGGTAGGACGATTTCTTGTCCCATTATAACCCAAAATAGCAAATTACAGTCAATTCGATTGAAAAATATAACCAAGTACTGACTAACAGCAGGTTCAGTTATATGGGGTCTAACCTGAAACTTCGACCAATATCGATAATTTTTGGTAATGAAATTTTCCACTCGATGATAATGCAAAATACAAAATTATAGCCAATTTAATTGGAAAAAGGGAGCATCAAAATACCTTAAATTTGTTCGGGACTTTTATATGGGAGCTATACCAAAATGTGTACCTATATTGACAAATTTTTGGCAAATTAGTTTTTCATCACTAAATACCAAATTATAATGATGAATGCCATTAAAATCCACACAACCAAAAATTTGGGGCGGAACCTTTATATGGGAGCTATAACAAAACGCGGACTGATACCTCCAATTTTCATTACCAAATATCCTAGCAGTAGTAGCAACATATGTGCAAAATTTTAAATATTTATCATTACTATTGCGAATTCAGACATGGCTAAATCGATTTTACCGATTTTTTTCTTTAAAGGATATCTTGAGGCCTTAAGGCCTCGGAAGGTTGCCATAGAATTTTATAAATTAACAAATTTTATTTTTCTTTTTCATTCCACCTTTCAGATTGCTGTCTTCCTTGGACCCATCTTGGCGGTATTGTTCTCTGTGTTCGGTTTCTGTACCCGTTACATCGACATAACCCCTCTGCTACGATGGATGTGGCACATTAGCTATTTTCGGGCTGGTTTTCATGGTGCCATCAATGCCATTTATGGCATGGATCGCAGTACCCTACCATGTCCCGATGAAATTATGTACTGTCACTTTCGTAATCCGAAAATATTTCTGGACTTTATGATGATTTCGGATGTCAGTATGACCTATTGTGTTCTGCTGATGTGTGCGGTTATTGGCATTATGCATCTACTGACGGTGCTGACTCTGTGGCATAAATTGAACAAACGTTAATGGCTTGGAGACAAAGGATTTTTAATTTAGGGCTTTATAGTGTAAATAAAAAACATAACCTCATTTTTATTCATTGCAAAAAAATCACATTTTCATTATCAGAAAAAACACATTTTTTAGTCTTAAGGACATTCCATTTTCCAGTGTTATTGGTTGCTAGTTTGTTACAACCAAAAAAATTATTTTTTACCTAACAGGCTGTAGGGTATAATTTTAAAAAACAAAATCATTTTTTTATTTTAAGTTTGGTATACCAAAAATTAGTTCTTAGTTTTATAGTTTTTAGCCCAAATCTTCCTTTTTTTATAAATCTCAATTGTTGTAATTTTGTTTTTATCGAAAATTTTGTTTTGATATGTCTTGCCAAAAATTCGTTTGGTTTTTTTATATAATTTATTTTTTTCATTTTTTCCTAACCAATTCGAATATTTATCTAGAATTTTTTTTATTATTTTTAAATGTGAAATTATGAATACTAGTTTTATTCATAATTTAATCCAAATATTATTTTATATACAAACAAAAAAATACCTGTAACAAAAAACAAAAAAATACCTGTTCAATATTGTAATTCTCACATAAAACAAAAAAATATATATGTGAAATGGTGTAATAAAGACAAAGAATTTTTTCAAAATGAGAAAATAGTTTTTGAAATCCATGCCTTGTTTTTTTTTAACCGATTTTTTCATTATTTCAAATATCATTTGAAGCAAATTTTGTTTTTGAAGCGCCTAAAGATATGCTTTAAAATGCAAAATTAGCCCTTATAGTTGGCAACGCTGGCCAAAGGCATGTGGATAGCGCCATCTATTGATACGTATGATGGCAAATCGCTAGATCAAAACTGAAAAGTCCCAAAAGTCACATGTCGTCAAATAATTAAATTCGATGTTTTCATGCAATTTTCGTCAGATTTCTATTCGATTTGAATGGCATGGTGTAGAAAACATCTTAAGCCTTGGTTTTGAATACTTTTGTACATTAAAAATTATTTCGGACTATAAAAGGCAAAGAGTTTTTAAAAAGTGTCTTTCAAGGCCTCAAACAAGGGCGTGGATTTTGTTAAAAAATATTTTTCAAAGTTACCAAGGGGCGTGGATTTGTTAAAAAGTATTTTTTCAAGGTTACCAAGGGCTTGGATTTTGTTAAAAAGTATTTTTTCAATGTCTATAAGAGGTGTGGATAATTTAAAGGGCCTTTTTGCTGTTCAATCTAATCCCTAAATACATTACAGGCAATTCGGTTGGAAAATGTGCTCAAACCGCCTAAAACATGACGGGTATCCTTACATAGGACCTACCCTGAAACATTGACCAATATTGATAATTTTTCGTTGGGCGATTTTCCACCCAATGAGAACCAAAAATACTAAATTACAGCCAATTCGGTTGCAAACCCGTTTTTCCAAATCGACTAAATATTGAATATTTAGGGTACCGTTGTTATATGGAGGCTTTTATTAAAAATGGACCAACATTGATACTTTTTGGTTAGAAGATTTGCTATTGAATTAGAACCCAAAATACCAAATTACTGCCGATTCGGTTAAAAATTTTGCTCAAAACCCCTAAAATATCGAATAAAGCGGGTAGTTTTATTTGGGGTCAACGACGAATATTAATAATTTTTGGTAAGAATATTTGTTACCCAATGAGAACCACAAATACCAAATTACAGGCAGTTCGATTGAAAAATGCGCCCAAAACCCCAAAATTTCCGAAATTCGGCATGTAACGTTATATGGGGGCCATCAATAAAAATGGACCGACATTGATAATTTTTGGTGAGAAGATTTGCTGTTCAATTAGAACTCAAAATACTAAATTACAGCCAATTCGATTGAAAAATATGTTAAAAATCCATATAATACCGTAGAATTGCGGATATCGTTATATGGGACCTACTCTGAAATCTGGGCAAATATTGATCATTTTTGGTTGTGAGATTTTTTTATCTCATGAGAACTAAAACAAATTCTGTTGAAATTGCGCCCAAAGACTCCAAAAACCGAAATTCTGAAGGTAAACGTTATATGGAGATTATCCGGAAATATGGACCAATATCAATAATGTTTGGAAAGAAAATTTGTTCTTGAATTATAGCCCTAAATACCAAATTACAGTCAATTCGATTGAAAAATGTAACCAAATAACAGCAGGTTCAGATATATATGGGGTCTACCCTGAAATTTGAACCAATGGTGTAGAAAACAGCTTATGGCTTGGTTTTGAACACTTTTGTGCATTGAAAAATTGTTTGGACTATAAAATGCGAAGAGTTTTTAAAATGTGTCTTTTCAAGGCCCCAAACAAGGGGCGTGGATTTTGTTAAAAAGTGTTTTTTTTCAAGAGGGCGTGGATTTTTTAAAAAGTATTTTTTTCAATGACTATAAGGGGCGTGGATAATTGAAAGGGCCTTTTTGCAACGACTATAAGAGGCGTGGATAATTTAAAGGGCCTTTTTGGTAAAAAGTATTTTTCAAGGTTACCAAGGGGCGTGGATTTTTTAAAAATATCTTTTCAACGACTGTAAGAGTCATGGATTATTTAAAGGCCTTTTTGTTAAAAGTATTTTTACCAAGGGGCGTGGATTTTTTATAAAAATATTTTTTAATGACAATAAGAGGCGTGGATAATTTTAAGGGGCCTCTTTGCAACGACTATAAGAGGCTTGGATAATTTAGAGAGCCTTTTTGCAACGACTATAAGAGGCGTGGATAATTTAAATAATCTGTTTCCAACTACTAGAGAAGATGTGTTTTTAGGCAAGGATTTTCTAAAGAATAGCTTTTTCAAGGATATAAGGATATATCATATTAAATATGTGTGACTTTCCCTATGTCAATTTAAGTCCACAATAAACCAGCATTTATGCAGTTAAATTGCCAATAAAAATTTATAAAAACTGTTCAAAATCAAGGCTTTAGTAGTTCTTAACCGGATGCCATTCAATTCGCAAAGAAATCGATCGAAATTTGTATGAAAAAATCGATTTTTATTATTTGACGACATGCGACTTTTGGAACTTTTCATTTTTGATGTTGTTCACATATCATTCATTCTCTTGGTCAAAATCTTGCCCGAAGTGAAATTCCGAAATCTAGAAAGAAATATTGAAAATAAACATAAAACTGATAAAACTTCGGAAGTGGCAGTTATGTGAACTGTAGACCTCTGTATATGCCAAATAAAAATGACAGATGGAGACTTTATTTATTACAGACTTGAAAACATAGATTATTAAAAAAAAATATATATATATATATAACTGGATTGTGTTAAAAAGTCATCATAATTCATATATATATATATATATACTTTTTACAAAATATTACCTTTCCTACTCGCTATACGTTTTACAGCATTGCCAGTTAATTTAGCTTCCGTCTACTTTCAAATCCAACCAAAACGGCAACTTCTATGGGAAACAAAATGTTATTCGTGGTAAGAAGAATTAGGATGTCACAAAAAAAAACAGTAAGGAAAGTAGTAAAGTCGGACGGAGCCGACTATATGATACTCTTCACCACTATGGGTATATTGAAAAAAGCATCTTAACAGAAGGCCATTAACATGAAATTGGATGAACTAAAATTTGAGCTATATTTAAATCTGGACGTATTCCAACAAAACTTGACACACGTTTGGCTATATTCTCTTAAGGGAACCTCCCCCATTCTCGATTTGATTTTTTTCAAGATTTTCAATGGGCTGGTAAATCAATACCAATGCTTGTTAAGGTTTGTAACTTTGCACATATATAATTGAAGATTTAAAAGAGAAGAAAAATAATTTACAAAAAATTTTGTAATTGTTTTGTTGTTGTTTTTTGTAATTAAAGATAAGTCCTTATTTTTGATGGTAGGCATGATAACTCCTCACTGGAACAATGGAATCCGAAAATTCCAACGGTGTTAGAAATAGTACATGTCTGGCTCTCGTATGAACTAGGATTATTGACTTCGCTCTAAAATTAACAAAATAGCGGACTTTTGAAAAAATATTTTTCGAAAATCGCCGATTTTTGACCAAAAACCAAGATAAAAAATAAGGAAGATATTCACCGATTGGCTTTACCCTAGTTCATACGATAGCTATACACTCATAGAGAAACGTGTAAAAATTTGGAATCGATTGGGTTATTATTTTTTGAGTTATCGTACCCGCCATTCGCAAAAGAGAAAAACGCGTTTAAAGTTTGAGAAGCCCTTTAGCCGTCATTTGATGCTGACACAATAAATCGGCTATATCTTCAAGAGTTCTTGAGATTTTCACATGAAATTTTGTAGGGAGATTCTTGAATTAGTGTAGATTCGAATTAAATCAAAAAAATGTTTGACCCCGAGAATGGGGGGGTCCTCTTAAGTACGTTGTGCAAAATTTTTTGTCAAACGGCCTATCTTTGAGGCTTTGGGGCAAAACTTATTTAAAATCAGGAAAAAATATATATGGGGCTATAACTAAATCTGAACCGATTTGCACGAAACTTAACACACATCAGTACGCTATGCCAATTCAGTACGCTATGCCAAATTTTGTCCAAATCAAAAGGTATATAGGAACACAATTCATATTAAATCGGCCGAAAATATATGGGAGCTATATCTAAACCTGAACCGATTTTCATGAAATTTTACACACATTGTTGTTGACTTAATTCAGTACGCTGTGCCAAATTTCGTGCAAATCGAAGGATATATAGGTCACCATTTACATTAAATCGGTCAAACATATATATGGGAGCTATATCAAAATCTGAACTGAAATGAACACACATCATTCTAGAGTCAATTCAGTACGTTATGCCAAATTTCGTGCAAATCGAAAGATATATAGGGACTTTGGTACACCATTTGCAATTAATCGGGCGAAACTATATATGGGAACTATATCTCAGGCTGAAACGTTTTTCACGAAACTTAACACACATCATTCTAGGGTCAATTCATTACGCTGTGGCAAATTTCGAGCCAATCGAAAGATATATCGGGACTTTGG